AGGACGACGCGCAGCACCTGCACCTCCAGTTTTCCTGCAAAAGTCCAACAAAGTTGTATAAGGTAAGGACAGTAAATCGAAGTACAATGCAGGATACTATGATAAGTAAAAGGATCCCAGGAGGCAATAGTGGCGTATGCACAGTTAACAACCAAATAAGTGGTAAAAACGAAATGACAATGGGGAATGGGTAGGAAGCAGGCCACATGTAAAACGAAGGGTGGACAAAAACACAGTAAATTGCCAGTATGCAAACAGAAGCAAGTTAAACAGGAAATGAAGACCTAATGTAGGATATGTAAATTTGGTACAAGAAACATAGCAAGTAATAAAGGGGAGAGAGACTTCTTCTTAGCAGATGGTTTCTTCGGTTTCGCTTTCTGCGAACTAATGTTCTTGTTCTGCACAGTAGCTTCTGTAGTGTCCGAAGCAAGTTCCCTGATACAGAGATGCTCAGCAAGGAAAGAAAGAGACACGTAAAGCTAGTAAGTAAGTTAACAGGAGGAAAGGTACTGTGGGAGTCGCTGTGTTGCAGTTTCTGGGGGCACTTCCTCACTTCTAGGGCTAAGAAGCAGTTAAAACGGGTGTGCAAGAGTCATTGACAAATATTAGCAGGCGTAAAGGCGAACGATTGAGGTAACACAGGAAAAGGCAAGAAACTGACCGCGCATAGGAAATAAGCTCAGTACGATCAAGTTCAGGAGAAGAAGCTACAGAACTGTTGTTGAAAAAAACATGTCAGGAAACGACATCAGAACGTGTATAAGCAGCACTAAGCTAGCAAAGCAGATAACAAACAGACAACCTTCCCAATGCAGCAGATGAGGGCGAGGATACAGCAGCGATGCGCCTACTGGAAATTGATGGTAAACAACGCATGGAAAAGAAATGTCAACACATAGGGAAAGAGTACGACAGTGTCCAAAGGAGCGCTTGTTAATTTTGTAAAGCAAAGTGGATTGTAAAAACAACCTGCTATAGGGGCGACGTGGAGGAGTAGAAAATGCAAGCTGAGAACTCCCACTGCAAATTTAAGAAGGAACCCGAGTTAAAGACAAGCAACAACCAGAGAAAAGAGGACATGTAAAATTGAAGCATAACCTTGGTGAAGCAACAGAAGAACCATGCTCTACCGAAGCGTTCTGCATTGTTGGAACAACATATGGAGAAGTAAGAGGCATCAAGTGAGGACTGCAACGGAAAGCAGCAATTAGTAATGAACAAAAGGAAACTGCACCACAAACTGAAGAACATTAAAACAACCTGTTAGGAGGTGGTGTATGGGGCATAGCATTTCTTGCCCGGCGACCAAGAGTTGGTGAGCAGGAATTTGGCTGTTCTTGCTCATTGACAGCAAGGACCGTGAATTCTGGCGGGCCACGAGCCCCATATTCCGGTTTTGGAAGCTGGACGTCAAAAGTAAAGTCGCGCCCTTCAAGAGCCAGAAGTTCTTGTGGAAGAACATTGCGTTGGTAAGGAAACCTAGTAGAGAGATCGTTAGCAGTCAAGCCCACAAGAAGGTCAGCGGCCCTACCCAGCAGAACAAAAGCTGCTGATCCAGTGTTGTCATCAACTGTTACCCGAAGTTTGTAACTGCAAAAAACGTGCACAGGAGCATCTGAGGACACGAGAAAAGGTAAAAGGTATGGGGGCAAGAATGAAGAAAGGAATTACAAGTTCTGTGTTTGTTGAGGCACCAAACGACGGTGGTCATCACACCATTTGTCAACACCATCATAATCTATGGCTGCTTTGGAACAAAGCGCACAACCCAAGTAGTACCACTGCATAGAAGAATCAACCGAAACAATCCGACCAGAGCAATGGTAACGCGTAGACTAAAAAAAAGTGAACGAAAAAATGATTAGACGGACAAACAAATGAAGTGAAAGGAACAGAAGCAGGTAAGCTGGAGAGCAAAATGGGAAAAAGCATACATCGGCAACAGGTGGAAAACACAAGGCAAGTAGTTGTGACACAGTCTTCGTACATTCAGCTTCGAAGGCCGCTGCCTCATTAGGAGTTGCAAACCTCGGAGGGTAATATTGACATGTATTAGTGCTGGCAAAGAACCTAACGAAAGCGAAAGCAAGGAACGCAACAAATTAGCAGTGACCAAAAATACAGCTGATGATGCAAAGGGAAAAACAAATATGAGGAGGATAAGAAAAGACATACACAGATTGGACCAGGTGAGCCATTTCAGAAACAGGGTTGAGAACACAACGTGTGCCTGGAGTACTGGTAAGAGAGTAACCTCCTACAAGAGGGGTAAAGGTAATAAGGAAAAGAGGAAGGGAAATGAAAGGGAGAATAGTGCGGCGGTAAGGTACATGCAGACCTTTCGTAGCGCCAGTGACTCGAAGTGAGCAAACAGCAAGCATAACTGGCCAAGAACGACCAAGGACAGCCAGTTCCTGACCATTGAGATTCCGAGCTATATCACTCCACAGACTGATGTCAAGAAACATGTGACTGGCCAAAAAAGCAACGAAAGTAAGTAACAAATGTACTACAGTCGATAAAGCAGTGGTGTGCATCTGTAACATACTTTTCATTCTGAAGGACCAAATCACTCCGCACAGTGGTACCGAATGAAGTTACAGTGCTAGAAACGCCTGTTATGCTAACAACAGCGCCAACGACATCTGACAGAGGCACAAGCAAGAGAAGAAAGGAAAGGATAGTAAGCAGTACACTGCAGAACGGACAGCAAGAGACGTAGAGAACACAGTACAAGACCTGTTAGATAAACCGATGAACGTATGCGGGAATGAAGGGAGCTGAAAGGGGTAAATTCGAACGCATCCGGCCAGAATGAAGGTGACGAACGGGTCACGTCTTCGAACTGTGTAGCGGCAGAGAGGATGATGGTCAACTTATGAGAGCAAGAACGATACGAAGGGGCCGGTGGCTTGACGCGAAAATTGCTCACGAAGTAAACGCTACCCAACTGCAGAAGCGGAGAGAAATGGCGCGTGAGTTCCGAAGGAGCCGTGCCCTGAATCAAAGTACCCTGGCCAGAAAAGAAGCGAACCTCAGAGGGCTGTAAAAAGAAGGGAGGCGCAAGATTACGTGGCAAAATAAAAAGGAAAGCAGCGCTGACCTCCTCATCATTCCAAAGAGTGCAGTAGTTGAAGATTAATGTAGGATTCTTGAGGCCATAAGACCCCCACGCATTTAGGAGGCGCAGCTTCAGAAGAGTCTGAGGGCCATCGGAGTCGCTGAGGTCAAGAAGCAATTTATGGGTCACCATGGAAGAGCAATAGAAGAAAGCAAGCGAGCAAGCAAGCTAGAAGAGGAAAAGTCTGTAAGAAGCACAAATGAAAGGTAGCAAAGCAAAGCAAGACTTTTGTGGGGAAAGGAACAGATGAGGAAGCGCCAGACCTGTCATTTCCAGGGGAAAGGTGAGGAGTTCCGAAAACCGATAAGTTGCAGAGAGAAGAGAAGTCGCTGGCGAAGCAACCCAGGCTAAAAGCAGAGAGGAAAGAGAGAGGTAAGCAATGATTACAGACGAGAACGCAGTAAAAATGTGGCAAAGATCAACAGTGTTAAGACGTGACTCTACCAAACAGTAAACTTGTAACTTGTTCTTTTAAAGAGATAATATACTGAACACAGTGTTTTGCCATGTATAATTCATACTTGAGGTAGTAAGGCAGGATAAGAAGCCAGAAGCTTTCTCTTGTTGACATTCAGAAAATTACGGGTTGCCTCTGCCACAGTCAGATCTGCAAATTCACTGCAATTAACATTAGAATAAGGACGGCTCGTGGTCGAAACCAAATTTATCAAACATAGCATAGCCATCACTCAGGATAATAAAAAAACACAAGATTCTGAACTCCACCAATCTTGGTCAGCGACAAAAAGGAAAACAAGGCATTTTGTGGATCTAACAAAGACGATCACCACGATCAGGAGGAGAATGAAGATTCAGCCAATGCAACCAATCTAGAGACTGCTGCCTACACAATTCATTTTCAACAATCTTTTCATTCTCTCTTTTTTGTGGTTCGAACTAATCAAGTCCTGATACACACACACTAGTTAACTACATATTTCATTGAATATTACTTGCTCTTTTAGTTTATAAGTTGATGCCAAGGACCTGTAACCTTACCGACTCAAACACGAGCGAAAAAATGATCTTAGACTGGGATCAGCATCATGCAGAACAATCTCTCCAAAGTCGAGGAAAAACTGGATAATTTCCTGAATCAAAGAAGAAAAATCAACATCAGCCCATTCCAGTATAGATTTAAATTTTAAATTCTGAGGATGAAGCTAAGAACGAAGAAAATCCAAATCAATGCAAGCAGCGGTCCACTAAAAGCCATAGCAGTTCAGAATACATGAAACCATAATGCAGTATGAAGTGTTGGACGTCTTCAAGTTCTTCCCTGCATTTCCACTCTTCAACCTCACAGCCTCACAGGGCATAATTACAAAATACCAATTACCCGCTAATCCTATGTCCGCAAAATTACGCTCGTAAATAAACTGACCAGCAAGAGAAGTCCATAAGAGGAGCGAGATTGAGGGAGAGACGCCACGGATCGCTGAAAGAGCTTGTTAAAGTGCGGATAAACCCTAGCAACCAAATCCTCCGAATTCTCTTCTTTACACAATTGGCAAAGCTTCCTCACCTACAGGACGCTAGCAAAGCAAGCATCAGAAATGTCTGTGTTCTCTCTATCTAACTCAAGACCGACGAAGAAGCGACAACGGCGAAGATGATTACGGCATTGAGGAGAGCCGGATCGGATGCGGGGTCCCCGGCCAAATTGGAGTCTCTAGCACTGCTGGATAATGTCCGAAGATAAAAATCCCATTTCTTGTCCGGATCTCCCATTTTTATCTCCTCAGCCGATCGCAAACAGAATTCAGTCCGACTGTCGCCGGCGATTTCTGGAGAAGCTCTGGAGTGGAGAGGCTCGTCGGGAAGAGAGGCCAGGCCGGCGGTGGATATTTTGGTGCAAACTGAAGACGATAGCCAAACGACGTTGTTTTCCGAACTGACAGATACTCGTTTAACGATGTCGTTCGATGAATCTCACTGTCCAATCAGATCAAGCCCATAGTGTTGTAGATCACGGGTCGATTGGGCCAAACATACGCCAGTGGACTTGTAGATGGGCCCATTACACACACATAAAAAAAAATTGTTGTCATAACCGAACCGGAGCATGACCCGGTAATGCGAACGACTCGCACTTTAGTGGTCCAACCGACATTAGACCGTTTAAAAACCGTTAGAGAACTGGTACCTGATAAAAATTATTAGTATTTTTTTTTTCAAGAAATGTCAAGAGAGAACCTATACAAACTACCAAGACCTTGCCCAACCCAATACATCAGTGAAGCCAACCAACAAAGTCAAAGGCGCGCAACTCTAAGGGGGAGAGTAACAGGGCTTTCTGCGCCACTCTATGGGCAGCCCTGTTAGCAGTCCGGGGAACTGCCCTAAACTCTAAGGACACAGAAACAGAGGACAGGAGAAGGAAGCAATCCCGAAGCACCGGACCTCCAATGGAGTCTGAGAAAACACCTTGACGAAGCTGACGAACCACCACCTCTGAATCTCCTTCTATGATGACCCGAGGCAGAGATTGTGGAAAATTATTAGTATAAATAGTGAAAATTTCTTAATGAGAGCTCATCTCTTTCCTTCGAAATTGTGAAATGGAAATAATGATTTAGTTTGAGAGCCCGACGTTTTTGGTTTATTTCAATTTTCAATTTTCTGCAATTTTTTTAATTAAATTTAGTGGTTGAATGGCAAAAACCGGACGAGCGACTCGATTGGCTCGAACGGTTAACCGCCTCGGCCGCTCGCCAACCGCTACATAAAACCGGAGCGGCTTTTAGACTATTTCGAGCCGATTTTGTGACCGGGTGGCGGCTTTACCGGTCGGACCGAGCGACTCGGTTCGGCTTTAATAACACTAAAAATCCCTAACCGCCGATGATATACCCGCGAAATTTGGTCGGCGATGATCCGTTTGCGTCACTCCAGTTTTTCAGACAGAACAACAAGCGCCGCACCGCCCGCACCGCAGGGATGGGAGGAAACGAGAGCAGAAGAAGCCAAAGTAAGGAACAATTTGATGCGGGCGGGCGTCATTTCCTCCGGCCGGCCGCCGATCGATTAGCCCGAAGAAGAATCACAAAGCTTGCTCCTTTTTCCAAGGATTGTGATTTTGATGGCGAAAGGGAGAGCGGGCTAGCCGCTGCTGCTGACGCTCGCCCGAATTAACTTTTTCCAATACCCTGTACTTGTCGTGGCCTTTTGAAATTATGCCGAAAAAACCCAACACTGAAGTTCCTCCGGTGGTTGTTGTTGCCAGCGGCGGGTTCAACTTATCCATCTACTACTTCAGTGGGGCCCTTGCACGGCAAAGTGAAGCTTTCTTTCTCTGTCTCACCTACTTCCACCATTAACTCCCCACTCCCCTTTTTGCTACTGTTGCTTCTTATAATCATATCCCAGCTTCACTGGTTTTCTCACTCGGACGGTTTCCTGGTTTTGTGCTAGTCACAGAGAAGGAGCGCAGAGTTAATTCGCCAAGAGGAAGTAGACAAAGAAGAAGAGGGGGAGACGTCTGCATTTCTCCTCCCCTCTGCCGAGGTTTGCTAAAAATTGCTGCTTTTGATTTGCATGGACAATTGCTTGCTTTGGGTGTTTTCCTGGCCTTTATAGAACAGTGTTTGAGGAGTCTCCTTTGATCTTATTTGGGGATTTATGTCGTTTACTGAATTTGCATGCTTTGTTGTCTCTGAAGAATGTTTGTTCATGTTGCATGTTATTCTGTTCTTAGGCTGTACAGCTTTTAAAGTCACCTATCCCCACCAACAGACCAGTTAAGTGGAAATTTGGTTGCAGCCGCTTTCAGCTGTTAGAATTTTGGAGTGATTTGCTCTTCCTTTTCCTTACTTACCATTCAGTTTCCGGGTATCCTCTGATGAACCCTTTACGACTTTAATGAGGGTAGAGTAATTTGCTGGCATGATTCTGCTAAGAAGTAGTGCATGTGTGTCCATCAGTATGAGTTAAATCTCTCTGGTCTGGCTTATGGTTCTGATATGCTTTGCCTTTGCGATCTCAGTCTTATGGTCATAGAGTGTTTTATATTATATTATTTTATATCTATTGTGCTAGATTTTGATTCTTAGCTCTGCTTTGTTGTTGGTATCTCACTGAGAGAATTATGTAGTTCAATTGAAATATTCCCTTTGCCCTGAACTTCTCAATGTGATTATCCTATTTTTAGATGGTGGATCAGCATGGAGGTTACAACGTGGATGAAGCTCTCCTCTCTGTGGGGTTTGGAAAGTTCCAAATCTTTGTCTGCCTTTATGCGGGTTTGGGTTGGATATCAGAAGCGATGGAAGTGATGATTCTCTCATTTATTGGTCCATCGGTGAAGTCTCAGTGGGATCTAAGTGCAAATCAAGAGACTTTACTTTCTGTAGTTGTATTTTCCGGCATGTTACTCGGTGCGTACATGTGGGGTGTAATTTCAGACAAATTGGGAAGAAGGTAAGTGCTTTGTGATTCTTTCCTATGACAGGAGTTATATTTTATTATGGAAACATAGGCCACAGTTCTTAGTTAGTGCCAACATGAAGTGGTAATTGCATCTTTGTTCTCATCAAGTGTCTTACGTATCTTGATAGTGATCAGATGTCTTATTAAATATTATATATGCATCCTGTTCACATACTACTGATGCGACATTGGTGCCCCTTTCCTATTTCATTTCGGTGCCTTACTGGATTATGCTTTTGTTATTTACTGCTTTCTTATATCTGTTCAGGAATGGATTTGTGGTCACAGCATTCGTTACGTCTCTAGCTGGTTTACTTAGTGCCTTTGCCTGGAACTATGTTGTGTTGCTCATTGCTCGTTGTTTGGTTGGTGTTGGCCTTGGAGGAGGGCCTGTACTCTTCGCCTGGTTCTTGGAGTTTGTACCTGCAACAAATAGAGGCATGTGGATGATTATTTTCTATTCATTTTGGACGGTTGGAACTATTTTTGAAGTCGGTTTAGCATGGGTAGGTTCATGAAACTTCATAGCTCAGTAATTTTAGTTTATCAGTGCAAATTCAGTTTTCGTACTTAGTCTCTTTTAACGGCCACTAACACTGTATATGGTAATATTCAGATCATTATGCCAAGATTGGGTTGGAGGTGGCTGGTCGGTCTTTCTGCTCTCCCTTCGTTTGGTCTCCTTGTATTTTATCCTCTGACACCTGAGTCCCCGAGGTACCTCTGCCTAAAAGGTAGAAAAGACGATGCCCTTAAGATTATGGAAAACATAGCAAAATTGAATAAGAAGGAACTGCCTCCTGGCGTCCTTCTTACCGATCGTGAAATTGAGCTACAAAGACAAGTCTCGAAGCCAGAGGCATCTGCCACTGATTCGCCTTCTTCTGCCCCTAGATGGAAAGATTCTGACTTGGGTGTCATCGAGACTCTACGGATGTTGCTTTCTCCAAGATTAATTCGCTCAACCATACTCTTGTGGTTCATATTCTTTGGGAATGCATTTTCATACTATGGTCTTGTTTTGCTCACTACTGAATTAAACCGTAAATCTCATTGCAATTCGAACGGAACACAATCCAACGACAAGTCAGATGCTGGTGTTGACTATAAAAATGTTTTCATTACTACTTTAGCAGGTTTGCATATTACTAACTACACCCCTTCTCTATTGTTTTGCATCAACTTATCTTTTCAAGAAAACATTGCTGACTGGTGAGTGTGCTACTGTTTTTCATTGCCAGAATGCCCGGGCCTCTTAATATCAGCTCTCCTTGTCGATAGGATTGGTCGCAAAATTTCAATGGCAGCTCTGTTCTTCATTTGTATCGTGTTCGTTCTGCCACTGGTCGTCCATCGATCTCCACTAGTGACCACCATTCTCCTATTTGGGGCAAGAATCTGCATCACGGGAACTTTTTCAGTTGCCTCTCTAATGGCTCCGGAGGTAAATGTTTACTTGTGTTCCTTATGAAAATGGCTTATTGTGGCAGGATTTATTTTTACGGGCCAATAACCGAAGAACGCCCATGAATTTTCTCAAATGTACAATAGTTCAAACACAGAAATGAATCTGTAGCTCCACCAACTGCTCTACTTGAGCAGCCATCTGTCAGGATTATTGAGATGTCCTTTGTTGATCTCTTCATATGACTTTTCCATTCTGACATTTGCCATTACTAGTTGCTCGGCCCCGAGTCTTTAGTGGGTCATATCCTATATCTGAACTTGGCATGTGCTCGTTGAAGCTGCGGAACTCAGACACTATATCTTATTCTTGCACAGACTATATGTTTTTCAGCTTGGAAGGGCATCTTGACTTCTAGGTTAATTTACTTACCATGCCTAATTCAGTTTGCTGGCATTTCGTCCAATTTTTATAGGATAACAATTGAATGTTCTCTTGTTTTCCTTCCACAACTGCATTTTAATAAAACATGAACTAGCTGGATTCACCTGAATGTTTCAGGTTCCAGTCCTCTGGTCTCTTGTGATCTTTCCTCCCAGGCATTCTTCTGCCTCCCCCTTTTATCATAAAAAAGAAGACAAAAACATGAACTGAGTAAAGAAACAAACACTTTTTCTGCAGTAAAATTATGATATTGCTTCTAATATAGGGTTGAGGAGGGTGATAAATCTTTATTTACGCTGCTTTTTTTGTTTTGTTGATGAAGCTGTACCCTACGTCAGTCAGATCAACCGGTTATGGAATTGCAAACTGCGTGGGCAGAATTGGTGGGATGGTATGTCCATTTGCAGCAGTGAAGTTGATGGAATCATGTCATCAACGTGAAGCGCTTCTGCTGTTTGTTGGCGTGATTGTTGTGGGGCTGTTTTCAGTACTGTTGATTCCTTACGACACTAAGGGCCGGGAATTGACAGAGAGCATATCGAGCACAAAACATGACAAGCATCGCCAAGCTGTCTGAAACTAGGTACGTATACGGCTATTATCATTCCTCTCTGGTGCTTGGTGACTGGGTTTCTTCTGGACTGGCTTTCATAAATCCGACCAGATGCCATGTTGGATTCTTGTTGGACCTTAAGGCTTGATTCTAGTAACTCTTGTTTTGCTGATCCTTTCAGTTGAGAGATTGAATGATGAAGACGGCGGCGTGGCAATGGCGGGCGACACAATGTACATTGCCTTTCAGTGTCCTATATAAGTGTTTGTGTGGTATATAAGTGTATGTGTGTAGTGTAATGTTGTGTGGAGTTAGTTTCAAGATGGGTGGGGACTAGTTGTGGTTTGTGGGTTGCATTGTCAAATGATGTATGTATGGACTGCAAGGTTATTAGCTCTTATTAACTTCTTGCTGAGGCTTTTTGGGGGCTATCATCATCAGGTAAACCTTGCGTCACACGGCTGCGTTAGTGCGAGAGATGTATCATAATTACAAGTTGTGATGATGGAGGGGGTGCTACTTTAGTTGATCTTTTAGGAGTGGTGGGAATCAGGCTATTGTGCTCACAACACGATTTGTAAGAACGTGTCTGCAGAGGTTGTAATCCTTGGATTCGACCGTTTGGGTGTCGCGCCCGTTGGATGGATGTGGTAGCAATTGTATAAATAAAATGTTATTGAATTCATCCAACGGGCGTATAGCGTCTATTACCTTATCAGGTAGCTCCAAGCCTCGTGAAAAAGTTCTTACAAATGGGTTGTGAGCGGCCAAACACCATAGTCGAATTGAGTGGTGTGTAGCTTTTTTAATGCGATAGCTAAAGGAATTGTATAGTACGAAATAACATATAAATGGATTCAACTCATAAACATTAAAAAAAAATATAGACTAATTGGTCCAATTGATTGATTTAAACCAAGTTTAGATATGAGAAAAGGTTGGGAGCCTTATGAAGAGATATATAGTTATATACCTTTATTTATTGTTATTAAAAAGTTTTTCAAAACAAAACGAAAAATATTTATCCTAACCTCAAGAGAAAGGTCTATATCTTCAGTTGATTTCATTTTATCAATTTTTAGAATTCGAAGCAATTGTACGTATGTACTTCTTAAAAAAAAAATCATATTCCCACTTTGCAACCCTTTCTTTTCTCTCTCTTTTTCTTTCTCATTCCCACTAATGAAGTTGTACCGGCAACTAGGACTGAAAATTTGGTACCGGTATTTGAAATATACCGAATTATAGGAGAATCCTTGTTTCGAAATGGGTAACAGAAAACCAGATGATCTAACACTGATCCAATTTATTTGTTTACTTCCTAGTGACACATTGTATGGGCCATCATCTATGCAGTTTGGTTGCATTCTCTATTTGCCAAACACCAATGGACCGGCCCAATTCATCTAGCCTCTTCATTCAGCAATGATCCAGCTTCCAAGAGGGATCCATCGGCCCATGCGATTATGAAGCAGAACATGGAGTCGATCCACCTCTCGAACTCCGCCGGGCTATGAAACTTGTTCCTCATGCTCAAAGCTTCTCATTGCTTATCCCCACGAAACAAGTAAATTTTTAACTAATAAATCATCAATTTAAACAATCACCTCAGAGTTGGCTGTCATCCCGGATAAAGATAATAGAGAGTTGGACGAAGGGTGACCACTGATCATTGACAAAACGCAAATGTAATATGAATGACTATTAATGCAATTAAAATGTCTTAGTGACGGATATGAAACAAAACAATAAAATCATTGACCAAGCATGGAATTTATTCCATGTTGTAAAACTTGCCACTAACCCAAATTTAACAAGCTATTAAGCTAGATTGAATTCTAACTAATGAGGGAAGTTCATATTATTGTGATGGAGGATTAAAATTTGAAAGTGACGTTTCTTTTAGTTTGACAAACGTAATACTGTCAGTTTAAGGCTATTTTCTTACAATGCTGCTTTTTTTTTACTTAAAGCATAAAACCAAAATGTGAAACCAACACTGCAACGTAAATTACGTAATTAACCTTTGGGAACGATGATTATTCGCATAATTAGTGGGTCTTAAATTTCAATGCGAATATATGATGGAAAAGTTGAATTGAAAAGGGAAAACGTTTTCCTCTCTCCTTTCCTTCTTTTAATAGGTTCCAAACCAACCAACCCAATTTCTCAGCTGCCTTTTCCTCAAGCTTCTCCCCTCTTAAAACCCACCAAACACCTTCAGAAGGCTCATTTATTTTCATCGGCAATTGTTCTCCATTTCTGTTGATTTGGTCCTGTATGCCATTATAAGATCTACAAAAGGTTCCCTCCCATCTTTCATCTGGTTATCGTTTGGTAACTGATCGGCGTAGCTTTTTCTCCTCTGATCTGGTCTTCGGAGAGAGCAGAGCTACTTTACTTTCCCTTTTCCTTCTTGTGCGGCTTTTGGAGCCAATTCAGAGCCAGATTTGGGAGGTAGTCGATCATTTCCAATCACTATGATCTGCTCCCTCAAGCACTCTGCTCTATCTCCCACGACAATCAATGGATCTGATCCGGTTGTCCGCCGGAATACGCGGTTGGCGGCGGGGAAAGCGTTCTTCTTGTCACCGCTTGGTGCGCCCAAGGGTTTGAAAGGCTCTCTTTTGGTGTCGAAGCCTTTGCATCTCACCTCAATTGAGGCTTTTTCACCCAAGGGGAGGAATGCGCGGCCGCGGTCGATCGTGTGCAAGGCTTATGAAGCGGAGCCGGTTGGCGCTGGGGAAGCGAAACCGGAGGCTGCGAGGAAGGCGAAGATCGGAGTTTATTTTGCGACCTGGTGGGCGTTGAATGTCGTTTTCAATATCTACAACAAGAAAGTGTTGAATGCGTTTCCCTACCCGTGGCTGACGTCCACGCTGTCGCTTGCTTGTGGGTCTCTTATGATGTTGATTTCCTGGGCTACGAGGATTACACCGGCTCCCAAGACTGATTTCGAATTCTGGAAGACTCTGCTCCCTGTAAGTTTCACTTTGTGGGCTTTTGTTTGGTTTGAGTTTTGATGTGAAAGTGGGCAAATTGGATTGGAAAGTGATGTTTTTGTTTCCATCTCGGTGATTATTTTTGTTTTCCTTGTCACATATTCGCTGAATTTGTTCATTTCCAGCCATTTCATTTCTGGTAATTTTGACATCTCTAGCTACCCATTTTGTATTTGTCCCTCTGCAACATCAATTTTGGATTTTTCCCCCTTCACGAACCTTATGGAGTCGATTATGGTCATTACGGTGTCTCAAATTATTTGTTCCTTCACAGGTTGCAGTGGCACATACAATTGGGCACGTTGCTGCAACAGTGAGTATGTCTAAGGTTGCAGTTTCGTTCACTCACATCATTAAGAGTGGAGAGCCAGCATTCAGTGTCTTGGTCTCTAGATTCATCCTGGGAGAGTCTTTTCCTGCCGGAGTTTACTTGTCCCTCCTCCCAATTATTGGTGGTTGTGCTCTTGCTGCTGTCACCGAGCTCAACTTTAACATGATAGGTAATTTTTGATTCATTGTGTGATTTTCACTTTGATCCATCTATATAACCCAGCTCGATTTCAAAATGTGCAACTTCTGAAATGAGTTCTCTCATTTGACAAATGAATAGTAGTTCTGAACTCCGTTTACCATAATCCAAGCGCAAATGCAGTTTAATTATGATTGTTTTCTTTTGTAGTTTTGCTTTCTGGCATTCTGACAAGCCATGTGACATTTATTTGGTCTTAGTCCTCTACTCCTCGGATATATCTCTTGCTAGAGGAGATTATATGTTGCATAGGTTGGAGTTTTGTGGGTTCTCTTCTGACTTGCTGATTGTTTGTGGGGTTTTTGTTGTCCATTTCAGGTTTTATGGGGGCCATGATCTCCAACTTGGCGTTTGTATTTAGGAACATATTTTCGAAGAAGGGTATGAAGGGAAAGTCCGTCAGTGGAATGAACTACTACGCTTGTCTCTCTATGTTGTCCTTGTTGATTCTCACACCTTTCGCCATTGCTGTTGAGGGGCCACAGATGTGGGCTGCTGGGTGGCAAAACGCCCTTTCTCAGATTGGACCCAACTTCGTCTGGTAATTTTCTTGCCAATATGGAAACACCACTGTGGTTGATTCTTTGTTCACTCTTACCGATTATCTACCCCTGCTTCTCTCTAGTGCATTTCTGTAACTTGATTAAACGACAGAGAAGTTGCTCATAACGTTGTAGGTGATGGCTCCCACTTGTCTGACAGCTGCCTAGGATTTCTTGTATCCCAGATTTGTCATTTGTGGTGTTACATTCTATGCCATATGATTGATCATGGTTGCGGTGAAACCCATGAATGGTGTGTAGTATGCCACCTCATCTGTTCTCAATAATTTACATTATATGGCTGTTAACAAGTAGATGGTTCTGTAGCTGAACACACAAACAAAACTGGATTGCAAACTGGTAATGATCAACAACCCATAGATTATTATTAAAAATTACTACGGATAAGGTTGTAAGAGAGTTCAGCGGGTGATGTTGTCTTTGTCTTTCAACGCATGCTCCAGACATTGCTGGTTGACACATGATTTCTCAAATTTCTTTCTCCCCTGCTTGGGTTCTTCGATTTGGTATCTGGATGTGTTGAATGTTGTTTTTCCTTCCGCTTTGTAGGTGGGTAGCCGCACAAAGTGTGTTCTATCATCTTTACAACCAGGTTTCGTACATGTCGTTGGATGAGATCTCTCCCTTGACGTTTAGCATTGGGAACACCATGAAACGGATATCCGTCATCGTTTCCTCGATCATCATCTTCCGCACACCTGTCCAGCCCGTCAATGCTTTGGGAGCTGCCATCGCAGTTCTTGGAACCTTCTTGTATTCCCAGGTAGCCCTCCCTCACCTCTCTTCTCAAATAGTTCCTACTAATTTCTAGTTGTTCCAATCGAAATTAACATATTGAACCTGTACGATTGAGAATAAATATGTGCCGTAATCTTCGTTCTCAGTTTGTTTGCTCTTGTTTTGAGGAAGCTTGGGTAGTGTTGGAAGTTGGAACATAAACATTGAGCTAGGTTCTGAATAGCAGGGTAAAAAACAGTTTGCCGGAGAACCAAAGGACTCAAACCTCCACGTACTCTGTTGGTGTTTATAGAAATTAATTATGGTTACTTAATTTGAATTGTATTCTTGTCATGGATTAGACAATCCCAAGTGTGGCCCCTCACATTGTGCATTACCTCCTAATGGAAAACATTTTAAAAATGGTTTCTTCAAGTGCATGTATTTTTAAAATTTCCATTATCTACAATTCCATACCAAACACAAAGTCTAGTCTAAATGTTAGGTGAGGTCTAAGATCCTTAAGCATCATGTGATGTGAGGAACCATGCTATTTACTTGCCTAATTAATCTTGTGTGGAAGGTGGGATGTTTATTTCTTGGCCTTGTTATTATCATTATTATTCACATTCTCATATTAGCTCTCATCTCACCCAACCGAAGGGTTGGTGTGATGATGAGATAGGCGACTTTTAGTGTGCTTCAGGGGTCAAAATCACAGGTAAAGCAATAGATTGATGCTCACCTAACTTTGTTCTGAGAATATGCTATCTTAATTCTCTTTCCCTTTATCTGAAGTCAAAAGATTGACTTGGTACAAGCAAAAACTCAAGCATCATGTGGGAATATGCTCTTTGTTTGCTGAAACAACCTATTTTAAAGCTTTGATGGTTGGGCTTATGGGAAGTTTTGTTTTGTTTGTGGATGCAGGCTAAGCAATGATCTAGAAGTGGGGAAGAATAAGAAAGGAGGAGGTGTCTAAAAGCAATTCTTGTTGGGTTTGGTAGGGTTTGGTTAAGCAAAGGTGGAATGTGGATGATGAAGTAAAGGAAAAAAATGTTTAATTGTCAAAGAGGATGGTCTGAAATGCAGACAACAGAGACCATGAGGACTGGTTCTTTTTAATTTTGCTATACATTTGTTGTTTTGTAGATAATAAGGTGAAATAGTTAAGAGTGGAAGAAAAGAAAAGACGGTAGGAATGATGATAATAATTTTGTGCCTCATTAACAGGAGCAGCAAGAAGCTGTCGGCGGGAGCGCGAGTATTCTTCTTCACTTTTTTTCCGCAGCTTGCTTTGCTGAACAGAGTTTGAGTTGAGCTACTTTGTGTTCTAATTTTACATTTTTTGGCAAAATAAAACCGGGAGAGCCAAGAAATCCCTCCGTAGTCCGCATTTTGTTTCAACCATTGCTCGATTAAATCAACACAAATATATCGAACGGTTCACTTTTGATAAACATAGACATAGCAACCTAAGATCTTCATCCTAATCCCTTGTTCTAGTTGAGCATCATCTCAAAACCTTCAATATTCGTTGTTTCATATTATTTAGTTTAAAACCAAATATGTAAGCAACGAACATTTTGGAGTAAAAATTGCATTAGAACTTCTTTGCATCCCAGCCTACATAGTGCCATACAACAAACCCCTACCCTGTTTACTTCTTAGTCGTAAAATTTTGTGTTGGAGGTGGAAGTAGTAGCACCACTAAACATAATTTATATGCCTAAAAATATAATTAATAAAGTCCAATGCGATCTTAAAAACAAAATCCAATTGGATGACCAAACCTCAAATTGAAAACCATAAAAGAAGGTTGTGATCAATGTAAGAAAGTTTTATTATTTTTGTTCAAAATTACAATTAATCTGAAGAGTAGAATGACTATGAAAATCTAATACCCATTTTGTTATAAGAGAAGAGTTCATTAAACCTAGAAACCAAGTGTTGGATGACTCTGTTGGGTGGAACCGACCAAGTACAAGTTCATATAATTCAAACAAAACGCTAAAATTGAACAAAACATTGTGATTTTACTGAATTTAAGATTCTAAAACCAAATTTCATGGTATTTTAAGGTTCATCACGGTAAGAGACAAAAAAAGGATTGGAACTTACATATATAATCTTAAAATCGTCTCTATCACCTCTTTTCCAAGTCTCCTTCACCTCTCCCCCAGCCGACAAAACTTGTATCCAAAATGATTACACACAATATTTACTTTTGAATCTCATCTAAAAAGACGGGAAGACATGTTTTTAGAAACTCACTGAAAACTTAGAATACTCATCACTAATTATTCTTAGGGCGAATTACAAATTTTTTGGAGACTAATAAGCATTGAGGTATCATTAGTAAGGGTCTAGGGAATGTTTATCCAAATGTTTGAAAAAAATAACAAATACCTCATAATTGCCTATAATTAGAAAATCATAAGTCAAAAACATATCATCACCTCTCATTTCTAAACTTTGATCAACAACATATGAGAAAGTATAAAAACATAGTGAAGGAAGAAGCAGCAAAACGACGAATTGGATATAGAGAAGAAGCACAATAGAAGGAAGAAGTTGCTCTAAAATGTGTCTTCTCTAACTCTAACCTAGCTGCCAATTTTTTTTTGGTTTTGAGTTTTGATGGGAAAGTGAGTAAAAAGTGATGTTTTTGTTTCAATCTAATTGATCATTGTTTCCTTTGCACATATTTGATTTTTGAGAAATTTGAGATATGTAGCTACCCATTTTGTATTTGTCCCTCTGCAACATCAAGTTTGGATTTTCCCTCCACCACGAAACTTATGGAGTCGATTAATTTGTTTAGTGTCTCTAATTATTTGTTCCCTTCACAGGATGCAGTAGCACATACAATTGGGCACGTCGCTGCAACAGTATGTCTAAGGTTGCAATTTCATTCACTCACACCATCAAGAGTGGCGAGCCAACATTCAGTGTCTTAGTCTCCAGATTTATCTTGGAAGTCTTTCCCTGCCGGAGTCTACTTGTCCCTCCTGCCAATTATTGGTGGTTGTGCTCTTGCTGCTGTGACTGAGCTCAACTTTAACATGACTGGTAATTTTTTATTCATTGTGTGCATTTTCATTTTGATTCATCTATATAACCCAACTCGACTTCAACATGTTAGGTGGAATCTAAGCATAAATGAGTTCTCATTTAATCCAAGCACAAATGCAATTTAATTTTGATTGTTTTCTTCTGTAATTTTGTTTTCTGGCCTTCTGACAAGCCATGTGACATTTATTTGGTCTTAGTCCTCTACTCCTCGGATATATCTTATTGATGATATATCTACAATTCCAAACCAAAACCAAACAAAGTCGAGTCTAAATGTTAAGTGGAATCTAAGATCATTCAACACTTAGCAGGAGGTCGGAATTGTTACGAGTGACTTATGAGTATCATGTGACGTGAGGAAAATGTTTTTTACTTGCCTACCTAATCTTAGGTGGGAGGTGGGATGTTTCTTTCTTGGTCTAGTTATTATCATCATTCAAAATAAAGGTTGGTATATGAGGAAAGTGGCTTTTAATATGGATCATGGGTCACAATCTAAAGTAATAATGGATGGATGCCCACCTAAACTTTATTCTAAGAATAGCTCTCTTCTTCTCTTTATGTTTATCCAAAGTCAAAACGTTGACTTGGTATATGGAAAAATCCAAGCATGGGAATTGCTCTATATTTACTGAAAGCCTGAAACCAACCTTTTTAAAGCTTTGATGTATGGGCTTATTAGAAGTGTTTTTTTTTTTTTGGGATGCAGGCTAAGTAGTGATCCATAAGTGGGGAAGAATAAGAAAGGAAGAGATGTCTAAAAACAATTATTGTTGATTAGTAGGATTTGGATAAGCAAAGGTAAAATGTGCATGATGAAGTCAATGAAGAAAAGAAACTGTTTTGTCGAAGAGGATGGTCAGTGAAATGGCGACAATAGAGATAATCAAGGACTAGTTTTTCTAGTAGATTTTTCTTGTTTTCGACCTTTTTTAGATAAATAAGATGAAATAGCTAAGAGGGATAGAAACGGAAAAATTGTAGGAATGATAATAATATTAATAATAATACTAATAATGTTGTGTCCCATTAACAACGCTAACAACAGCTGGAAGCTGTCGGGAGAGCGTGAGTACTCTTTTAGTCTTCTTTTGCATTGCGTTTGAGTTGAGCGAGTTTGTATTCTCATTTTGCATACTTTTTCAACGGAATAAAATAGAGTGAGAGAAGGAAACCCTCCATACAGAGTTTCTTCTGTGATTTTTTTGCACCATTTGTGACTTAAGTTTGATTTTGTTTCATAGTTGATTATATTGCAACTAAATCATGTGAGTTTCATTTTTATTGCATTGTTATTTTGCCGTGTCTCAAAACTTGGAGCAGCAGGAGCATTCACATTGCATTGAAAACCAATTACATACGTTGTTCATATTGCCACTAAGTCATTTATATAACTCAACACATGTTAATATCATTGTATAATATCAATACACGTTAAATTCATTGTATATGCAACAATGCAATTCACATGCAATAACATATGTTGAGGGTTTAAGTTATTTTATAATAAATAAATAAACGATTGATTTATTTTTCCTATGTGACATGCATAATGAATTTCAACAAATACAAGCTTGGGTTATAGGTATAATATGCCCCTCTACTTTGACGTTTTATCAAACATGCCCCTTTACTATTTTTTACCTCAAACATGCCCCTGTAATTTGGAAAAACTATCAAACATGTCCTTCAGTTGAAATTTCCATTGAAAAAAACGTCAATCATGGTTGAACCGAGATTTAGCAGACCTGACATCGATAAATGGGAGGGTAAATGTCAGTTTTGACCCTTGCTTTATTTCTCTAGGTCTCATCAAAGTGAAATTATTATAATTATTTGGCTATACAAAAGAACAAAAAAAAAAAACTCTAAAGTGAAATGATTAGAGATATTTTAGATATTTGGGTCGCCCAAACCAAAGTTCGGTCTTGGTTAACGGTTTTTGGATGTAAATTTTAGCAAAAGGGCATGTTTGATAAGTTTTTCAAAGCAAAAGGGCATGTTTGACGTAAAAAATAGTAGATGGGCATGTTTGATAAAACGTCATAGTAGAGGAGCATATTATACCTATAACCCATACAAGCTTGCATATTTGCACGTGCCCATTACATTGGTGCAACTCATTTTGAAATTGCATATTGAGTGTTATCAGGATTTGCAATTAACCAAATACTATTTATGTGAATGCTCTAAATGAGGCCAGTTTTGCTGGTTAAAAAAGATACTTGTTACTCTTAATGCAGTCAAAATCAAAAGTAAGATTATATTTAGAGGATTGAAATCGATTCTAAAATGACATCGTTAGATTTTGATACACATGTAAAAACTAGCACTTAGAATGATACAAAAAAAAAAAGGATTCAACGAAAATTTATATTACACAAAAAAAAAATATTATCAGTAATACATAACACCAAATAGTATAACTTTTCAACTTGACTTTAATCGACGCAAGTATGGAAGCAACTCAATTTTTTACGTAACATGAACGCAAAAGTAAGCAACTAACATCTTATCATAATCACTTAAAAAAACTTCTCTCTCTTCTCTTTTTGCTCTGCCCTCTCTCCTCTTTGAACCGTTCTTTTTTCTAGCCGTTACTGTCTCCCAGCCCTGTTCTGGATGTTGATCCTCCTCCCCCAGTGAGATGATTTGATCCCTTTGATGACTACTTCAGTAGCATTGAAGATGTATACTGTTGCCCTCCCTGAGAGAAGATATCTCTGTCTGACTGGAATTGATGCTGAAGAGGCGTGCTCACCCCATGCCAGCTGGGTGTTCAGAGTTCGGGTACAGGGACTCCAGCAAAGGGATTTATGGCGGACCTGCTGCTCTGTTCGATTGATGGTTTTGAGCTACTGGTTCTCTGCGCGTTTGGTGGCAGGAAGTTATTGGATCCCTGAGTTCAAAGGTATAAAAAGAACAAATGTAGATATCAGTCTCTTCAAGCCCCCATTAATGAAGTGGAAGTGGAAGAAGGATTTCGAGCCACTCAACTCTACAGAAACAACTAAGAAAGCCAAGGGATTGGGGACAGTCATAATACCCGGTCCAATCAGACCTAACACTGGAATAAATGCAGCCGAAGGAGATTACAGAGAAGCAGAAGGCTTTAAAATAAGGGGAAGACCTGCTTCTAACACCAGCACCATCTGCTTAGTCTTTCTACTCAACCACAAGCAAACTACTATTCCTATCTACCCAGGAAAAACAGAGAGTGGGAAGGGAAATACAAAAAACATGAGTGTGAACGATCTGATCAATCAAGCAGGGGAATGGGATATAGAAATGATACCGGATGTTGAGAGACTTACCAATCGCTTCTCCTTGGTTGTTAAAGTCTTCTCTGAGCGAAGTGTGAGCTTGAGGGCTTTGAGAGGCATGATAAGATCTGCCTGGGTGGACAA